GGGGGGAGGGCGGGAAGGGGTGAGTGGGAGGGGGCTTGGTTTATCAGGGAAGACGAGCTGGTGGCCAAGTGCTGAGTGGTGGCAGGATGTGGTGATTGGTTAGAATAGCGTGTACGTGTTCACTCCGTCCATCTTGTGCGGACGTTGGCTGAGGGAGTTTGGGTGAGGCTGGTTGTTTTTACCGGACTTATCGATAGTAGTGAGCTCGGGGTTGGGTGAGAGGTGTGGGTGAGTCCTGTTATGGCGAGTGGAGGATGGAGGAAGGTGTGTAAGTTAGGTTGGGGATGATGAGATATGGTCGAGGGGATGGGGGGGTTAAATGATCAAGGTGAGTCGATTGCGAGGACGGGGAGGGGTGGGGGTGGGGGGGGGGGAGAGCCGCGTAGGAGGACTGAGGGATGCGAGGGTAAGGGATGTAGGAGGGCCAGAGGCGAGTTGAAGGCACGTTGAGGGGGGCGGGGAGGGGTTGGGGTTGGGCAGGGGAAGAGGAAGGGTCCGATCTTGGAGTTGAGAGGGAGGAGGAGGGTGGAGAATGAATGAGAGAAGGAGCTTGTCTTCGAAAGCGAGAGGGAGGAGGAGGGAGGAAAGGCAGGATCCGGGCCACTATTTCGTTTTGTTCTGTTTGTTTGTTTTGTTTGTTTGGTTGCTTGTTTTGTTTTGTTTGTTTGTTTGTTTGTTCGTTTGTTTGTTTGTTTTTGGATTCTTTTTCCGCACGTTTGAGGTTATCGCTCGCTCTGCATTGGGCGGGGTGAGCTTTGGTTGCTAATCGGGACTTCGGGCTGAAAAGGAGTGGACACTGTTGTTGGCTGCGAGGGGTAAGATTGGTTGGGTAGGGAGAATGTTAGTATGTGACGAACCACTTTCTGTAGCGCGCGACTTTCTGCGCAGCTACGTTGAGGGGTCCTAAGTTGGGGAGGTTGGACCAATTACGGGAGATCGGGATCGGTGGGAAATTGCATCAGTGTCCTTGCTTTTTCGTCTTTTTCGTCGCTTCTTTTCGAATGGCTGGGTTCGGAGCCGGGTGTGTCCTAGGACGGCCGGTTGATTGATTGGTTGACCGAATGGCTGGCGCGCCGCCGTGCGCGCGATTGATAAATGTTGACGTCATTGCTTTTGTTTTGGTGCCAAACTTTTGGGCGCGGACATCGCGAGGGAATTTGCTTCGTTCCTTTTGGATTTTTCTTTTAAATCTTTTTCGAATTTTGTCGAGCCCCGATGGCTCTCGGAATTTCGGACTTTTCTTCTGGAATTTGTGCTTTTTGCTTCTTCGCATTAGATAGGAATTTAGGAATTTCGTAATTAGGATTTTCCTTGCCGCGCGGTGCTTTTTGTCTACGCGCTTCTTCATGCGGCTGCAACGGAACTCTGATTAGTAGGCGCCTTTAATCGTGTGTGTAACTGTAATTTTGGGCGGGCGCCATTGTAACTGTATCTTTCTTCTTGCGC